TAATCGCCTACGTCCTGAAGGGACACGGCACATAAAAGAAGAGGAAGGAATGTCTAAATTTATTTTTTTACTGCCATGTCCGTTCAGGGTGTAGACGATCATGGCTCTTCACAGCGTCTTTTTTTAGTTATTATCTCTGAATTGCCATACCTTCTTGGCAAAGATAGATTACTATTGTGGGGGTTCACTGACATCATAGCAGCAGAGATTAGCCTTGTGTTCACAGAGATAAAAAGTATACTTGACAGGAAATAAAATGTACAGAAATACCAGGAAAAGCATAGTAAATTTTGTGTTAATTTCATACACTTTATTTATATTTTATGTGTATTTGTGTGTGTACTTTTTATGGTAGATGTGATGAAAGGGAGAATTTACTCCATAGAATTAAGTGTTTTTTGTTTTCTTCCTCGTTGAAGCAAAATGATTGCCATACTAGGCTAGAGAGTGCAGGCTACTCTGTTATTTAATTCATAATTGCAGGAAGAAAAAAATGGATTCATGTCTTTCCCGAGTGTATATGTGTAAAAATGAGCCAAAGAGGCTGCACCAAACTTGAATCACTGATTTTAAGGCAGCCATTATCTTGTGGAAGGTTGATGGCGCAGAAAGATTTGGTCTTGTCAAAATATTCAACATATTCACAAAGAAAAGGTAAAAGAAAGCAGATAAAGAGCAAATACAAAATTTTATATCCCAGAATTGTTGGTGTTTTGCAAATAATCTTGTGAGTCAAGTTTCTTTTTTTGAAGACAAAGTATTTATGTGACCAGAAACAGAGTAATCAATAGCAGATTATTTTTTTGAATTGGTTACATGATACGTTGTTTCCTATTTATAGTAAAAGCACAGACCAATGTTTGAAGACCAATCTCTGCACTTTTATATAACAGAAAAATGCTCAATTCTATTTAAATGTGTGTTACTTGAATGGTATATTGGGTTGGCCAAAAGGTTAGTTCATTTTTTGTTATCACTAAACTTCAAGCCTTCAGGCTGTCCCTCATGCAGAACTTATAAGATACTTGTGAGTTCCAATCTAGAATAGGAAGGTTCAAATTTAAACAATTTTGGCAATCATGTTTATGAAATACGAGAGTCAAGGAAAATAAGGTAATGAAGGAAAGTGAGAAGGACCATCAATTGTAAGAAGACAATGTATGGTTGTCAGCAAAAGGGACATACCAACATATAAACTACACATTGCAAGAAGATATTGGAACAAAACGGAAATTATATCTTTGAATAAATGGCTCTATGTTTAAAACTGTTGAAGCCAATATATTCATTTATGTGCTAATGACCTTGGGAAAGGTATGAATCCTCCTCTTCTCCCCCCAGCTATGGGTAAATAGCAGGACAGACTAGGTTCTATAGTTTTGGATGGCAACTGGTCTACTGCAGAAAGAATTGGTAACCTACTGCAGGAAAATGCCTTGTCAGTCATGTATTGAAAGTTACATGATTGCCTAAGTGTATATCACGCATGGCACATAACTAACAATAAAATTTCCAATAACTTAATAATTATATATTCATAAATAATTATATATTCATAATTATATATTCATAATTATATATTCATAAATAACTTAATAATTCATAAATAACTTAATTATATATTCATAAAAGCTGAAACTTTACAGATTAGTATTTTCACGTGGGTTTTAAATGTTGTGGAAATTTCATTTTTTTTTCATAAATTAGAAGCTCAATTTTATTTTAAGTTGATATGTACTCTGTAGGGATAGCATAATTAATAATTTTCAATAAAAACAAGAAGGTTTTTTTGTCTAAGAATATGTTAGTATGTTGTAATAATGTGTTTGCTATAATTTGAATCTCTATAATTTGTTCATTTTACTAAATCTTAATTTATATAGATTTTCTTTCTTCACAAAATTTATAATGCTCCTCCCTGACTGACTACCACTAAAGTAGCATACCCTGCTATTGAACCCCTAGCAGCAGTAACCCAGTAACAAACTATATATAAAAAATTAAATGAAGAGAAGTTTTGATTATTTAAAAAAAAAAAAAAATGTAAAAATGATTATTGTTTGAACAAAATTAAAAACTTCCAAAGGAGACAAGTGTAAAAGTGACGTTCAAACACCAGAGAAGCAAATGACCTGAAACAATATTTGACTACCTTCAACCTCAGAAAAATACTAACCAACTGGTACAAGAGAATCTTTCACATTCTGGGGATAATCTTCATGAGACAAGGCAGTCTAAGAGTGTACCAAAAAAAAAAAAAAAAAAAAGAAGACAAACTTTAATACAGGAATTTGGGGTCAAGTGAGCTTGAAGAGAGAGTGTTTACAACATGTAATAGAACAAGTGGAGGGTCTATCAGTCTATCAACCAGTCAACATTCAATATGGAAACTCAATTAGAAGACAGAATGGCAATAAATAATTAAATTACTTTGTCTAATGGGAATAAATAAAGGCAGCATTTGCCATAAGTGGGTTCTTCTCCCAGGGATGCAAACACACACAGGCATTTGTGTGTGTGTGCGCGCGCATATATATATATATATATAATCATTCATATATTTGTATTATATATAAATTTTATATCATTAACTTTACTAATCATTTTTGCATGAGTGATTTGTAATACAAAGTTAATGCACCTCTAAAATTTTATATCATATATATATATATACTAATCTACTTTTATATGATATGATTCATTGTAATACAAAGTGAACTGTCATAAAATATTTGATATATATATATATATATATATATATATATATGTGATTGTGTGTGTAACTCCCCTGTTTTATGTATGATGGACTCTGTCTTGTGTAAAATTATAGTTAGACTGTGTGTCATCATACATAAAATGTGTGTGTGTGTGTGTGTCAATCACCCTGTGTGTGTGTGTGTGTCATGTCACCCTGTGTGTGTGTGTGTGTGTGTGTGTGTGTGTCACCCTGTGTGTGTGTGTGTGTGTATGTCACCCTGTGTGTGTGTGTGTGTGTGTATGTCACCCTGTGTGTGTGTGTGTGTGTGTGTGTGTGTGTGTGTATGTCACCCTGTGTGTGTGTGTGTGTCACCCTGTGTGTGTGTGTGTGTATGTCACCCTGTGTGTGTGTATGTCACCCTGTGTGTGTATATATATGTGTGTGTGTGTGTGTATACACACACACACACATATATACATACAGGGTGCAATGGATAAATTGTCATCTGATTTATGCAAAACTGAAAATATCACTGACATTTTATTTTAACAAATATAATTTATCAAAATTACACAAAAATATCTTTAAATACTAAAGAGTAAATTTATTCAATAAAATTGCCATTGGCCTCAACCACAGCCTCCAGACAACTTCAGAATCTCCTGCAACTCTTATGGACGGTCTCCTTGTTTCAATTGGTGAATGCTACCATTATGCATGCCTTCAGTTCACCTTTCGTGTTACAAAGAGTTTTGTTGGTCTCTCGCTCATCTGCACTGCACATATAATAACCAAGGGGGTTGGAGTCTGGGGAGTTAGGTGGCCAGATGTAAGGGATGCTGTGGTTGTAGAAATTGTGTGAGAACTATGACTGGGTTCTCCTGCTTTTGTGATATGGTACAGTCCTGTTGCCAAACAAAGGGTCTTCCAGCAGCCACAGTCTTGGCCCAGGGCAGCACTACCTCTTGAAGGCACCTTATATATGCTCTTTCTGAATCCTCTGTAATGACCTCAGATTGACAACTAAACACTCTGAAATGTTTGTGTTGGCACTTCCGGTGCGAATGCCAAGCAGTACAGCACAGATGGTGCCCAATTGACCCTATTATACTGTGCAGTCGACAAAATCAAAAACAATGTGCATGCATGAAATTAAAAATATAAAATACTATAAATACATATGTTACTAAGAGCTACAAGGGTTAGGATGTTGTGGAGAGCTATGATCGCCAAATTTCTGAAGGGACACGACACATAGAAGTGCCAGTAATTTATTTTATGAAATACAAAAATTTCTGACACACAATGAATTTTCTTCTATGATCATTTTTCTAAACCACATTTACAATGTAGCATCAATTTCGCACTTAACTTTTCTTTTTTAATCATTACACCCCAAGCAAGGCAATAAAGCCACTAAGACAGTGTGAAAGAATATGAGAAAAAGAAAATCATTATTAAGGAGAGAGAACAATAAAAGAACAACAATTAAGAAGAGAGAAGATAATGAATGACATTGCATTAAGATTTTTGAAAATCAAAATTGACAGAGAAGACAGTAGTCAAAAGAAAGTTCCACAAATGAAAAGTGTAAGAAGAAACTGTTAATATAGGATTTAATTACATTTAGTCATTTCAACTGTAAAAATGGTAAAACTGTGCCACCAATCTAGTACCATGCTTAAATTAGTATAGCTTAGGTATCAATCTTTTTTACTTTTTTTAATCATTTCACCTCAAGCAAGGCAATAAAGCCACTAGGACAAGGGGTTACTGAGTGTGAAATAATATAAGAAAGACTACAATTAAGGAGAGATGACAATAAAAGAACAAGAATTAAGAAAACAGAAGATAACGACTGACAGTGATCCTCAGAAATTTAAATATAAAGTTGACTGGGAAGCAAGAAGCTAGAACAGAGCTCCACAAGCGAGAAGTGCAATAGAAGAAACTGTTAGCATAGAACTTACAGTAAAGATACAAGCTTGTATAATCCATGGAATAATATTTCATCTCAGAACTTGAGATAACACTCTCATTCAATCAGTTTTAAAATTGCTTTAGAAAAGGGAGGCTTTTATTATTTACTCCTAAAAAAAAGGAGGCAAAACAAAAAAATCGTCTTTCTGAACTACGCACATGAAAATGAAAAAGAAAATGTCTAGAACAAAGCTAAAGCAAACAATATAAAACAAAGAACAAAATATTTCATCCACTTCAACCAGATCAATGAAATGGCTTCCTGCATCTGAAGATGACCTGAGCAGAAAAAAAAATGTATTGTGTCATGGGGTATGATTGATTAAATAGTCATAGCTGGCATTTGGTAAATGCTTTCAAAGAAGAATTGTGACTTAACAGTTCTTTCAGCAATCATTTTGAATATAAATGGACAATCTGTTGGATGTAACACATTCTGACAATAAATTATTATCTTTGAAACAGGATTTGAATGTTCCCTCTTATGCAATTTAGAGAATGAAATTTCAAGATGCCTCTTTAATTTTTGGCAGAAAGATGAATGGAGAGAAAGAGAGAGAAAGAAAAATATGTTAGAAATGTAAAAGAAAGGATAGACAGAAAAAAGTGATGAGAGTGGAAGTACAGAATAGTTAAGAAAAGATAGGCAAAGAAAAAGGAAAAAGAAGAGATGAGCAATTATGACATGAGAAAGAGATACATATAGATTTGGACAAGTGAGGGAGATATGGCCACTATGATAGGGGGGAGAGAGAGAGAGTGATAGACTTGGACAAGCAAGAAAGAAAGAAAGACGGGCCGCAACGACAAGAGAGAGAAAGACGGGCCACTATGACATGAGTGGGAGGTGGGAAGGAGGAGGCCAGGTATATATATATATATATATATATATATATATATATACACACACACACACACAAAGATAACAAAATAGGGCATGAGTGAGATTAATTGATCCATTATTATTATACAGCCTATCAATCCTTTGCGGGTTATTTAAAGCCAGAAAATATTTCCAGATTGTAAGAACATTTCTTTTTAAAATTATTAATGGTTTAGTAATACAAGTTTTTAATTAACCCATAGCTAGAGAAGAAGTAGATTTATATTTTTTCCCAAGGGTATTTGCACATAAGTGAATACAATGAATCCAACTGAAATTGGAACTTGTCTCTCCAACTAACAATTCCAAGCCACTATCCATTACACCACCCACAGCTTACAGCATCTGGAATTCCTAAGTGGTCACCCATCTAGGTATTAACCAGGCTTGATATTGCTTAACTTCGGTAATCATATGGGAACCAATGATGTGACTGTAAACAGGGTGAGAGAGAGGCAAAAACAACAAGATAAAGAGAGAAAATGGATAGAAGATAAAGAGAGAAAATGGATAGATACAAGAAATGAAAATGACAAACATTAAAGGATGAAACAATACATGGAAAATGACTAAAATAACAGAAAAATCTCACAATAAATTTAAGTTTTCCCCACCCTTGACATGTAAATTTCAAACTCAAAAAATATTTATCTTAACAACTAAATATCTACAGATAATGAGATTTTTCTATTGTAAAATGTTTTGCTCCATATTTTGACTCTCTGTAAAGAAATTTCGTATTTAATGTGAGTGATTTTTTTTTAAACAGTTCTGCTATCACATTGATTCCACAATGAAACCATAATTTATTTTTCAACTACAGTTATTTCTTCATTACTGAAGATAATTTATAACAAATTTGAAACCTATTTGAGTGCAAACATAGCATGTTGTCTACCTCGTTTACTACTATAGTATGCAGTCTACTGCACTATGAATTCAACCATGACCACACCTCACGTACCACCCAGCAGCAGTCTACCACAATGAATTCTATCATCACCTCACCCCTAGTGTCCTCTCCCCATAAAAGGAAGGAAATGAAGCTCATACATCAGAATCTCCCCCAAGTCTAAAACGATTAACATCAGCTGCATAACCGCCTTCAGATTAAAATGTTTCTGAAAGACTTGTATATATGTCATCTTGACTGAGGAAACATTAGTTGCATTTTTACAAGAGAACAATCTACTACATATGCTACACTATTACTGCAGCAGACCACATACTATAGTAGTAAATGAAGTAGACAGCATGCTATAGTGTTTGATGGTAGACCACGTACTTTAGTAGCACTGATATTTCAATCAGTATAAGATACTGTGGAGAGGAAAGGAAGGTATATAAAGAAAGCACTTTCAAGATTCAAGCATTCATCGTGGAAAGGGGAGAAAAGTCAGGTTTGCAAATCAAGCACTCAAGTAACAATATGAACCTAATTCAAAACTTCAAGATGAAAACATTAACAAAATTAGGTATGTAGATGACACAGTGTTGACAGCAGACCAGTGGTGGATCGACATTTTTGGAGCCCAGAATCTCTAACCAGCAACAATAGAGTCAAGGTTCTAACTGCCAAAATGTAGTATATGAATAGATTCTGGTAAGCTCAATTGGCTGATACAGTTGGTGGTTCAGGAGTTGCAAGCCTCCAAGAAAATATTGAAATTTAACCAATATCCAAGCTTATAGTGCCTGGTATTTGGGCACCCTGAGGTGGTGTAATGGTTAGCAAGCTTGTCTCGCTAGGACAATTATGACTGAATAGTGAGTTCGATCCTCACTGGGTGCCCCATACATTCAGCCTTGTGCCACATCGAAGTTATGCTTGGAAAATCAATACAAGGCACCTCGGCATGATGTAATGGTTAGCAAGCTTGTCTCGCTAGGACAATTATGACTGAATAGTGAGTTCGATCCTCACTGGGTGCCCCATACATTCAGCCTTGTGCCACATCGAAGTTATGCTTGGAAAATCAATACAAGGCACCTCGGCATGATGTAATGGTTAGCAAGCTTGTCTCACTAGGACAATTATGACTGAATAGTGAGTTCGATTCTCACTGGGTGCCCCATACATTCAGCCTTGTGCCACATTGAAGTTATGCTTGGAAAATCAATACAAAGCACCTCGGCATGATGTAATGGTTAGCAAGCTTGTCTTGCTAGGACAATTATGACTGAATAGTGAGTTCGATCTCACTGGGTGCCCCATACATTCAGCCTTGGACAATCAATACAAGACCTCGCATGATGTAATGGTGAATAGTGGACAATTGACTGAATAGTGAGTTCGATCCTCACTGGGTGCCCCATACATTCAGCCTTGTGCCACATCATGCTTGGAAAATCAATACAAGGCACCTCAGCATGATGTAATGGTTATGCTTGGACAATTATGACTGAATAGTGAGTTCGAACTGGGTGCCCCAGCCTTGTGCCACATCGGTTATGCTTGGAAAATCAATACAAGGCACCTCGGCATGATGTAATGGTTAGTTGTCTCGCTAGGACAATTATGACTTAGTGAGTTCGATCTCACTAGGACAATTATGACTGAATAGTGAGTTCGATCCTCACTGGGTGCCCCATACATTCAGCCTTGTGCCACATCGAAGTTATGCTTGGAAAATCAATACAAGGCACCTCGGCATGATGTAATGGTTAAAAGCTTGTCTCGCTAGGACAATTATGACTGAATAGTGAGTTCGATCCTCACTGGGTGCCCCATACATTCAGCCTTGTGCCACATTGCTTGGAAAATCAATACAAGGCACCTCGGCATGATGTAATGGTTAGCAAGCTTGTCTCACTAGGACAATTATGACTGAATAGTGAGTTCCTTCTCACTGGGTTTCATTCAGCCTTGTGCCACATTGAAGTTATGCTTGGAAAATCAATACAAAGCACCTCGGCATGATGTAATGGTTAGCAAGCTTTCTCGCTAGGACAATTATGACTGAATAGTGAGTTCGATCCTCACTGGGTGCCCCATATTCAGCCTTGTGCCACATCGAAGTTATGCTTGGAAAATCAATACAAGGCACCTCGGCATGATATGGTTAGCAAGCTTGTCTCACTAGGACAATTATGACTGAATAGTGAGTTCGATCCTCACTGGGTGCCCCATACATTCAGCCTTGTGCCACATTGAAGTTATGCTTGGAAAATCAATACAAAGCACCTTGATGTAATGGTTATGCTTGTCTCGCTAGGACAATTATGACTGAATAGTGAGTTCGATCCTCACTGGGTGCCCCATACATTCAGCCTTGTGCCACATTGAAGTTATGCTTGGAAAATCAATACAAGGCACCTCGGCATGATGTAATGGTTAGCAAGCTTGTCTCACTAGGACAATTATGACTGAATAGTGAGTTCGATCCTCACTGGGTGCCCCATACTTTCAGCCTTGTGCCACATCTAAGCTGTGCTTGGAAAATCACTATAGTGCCTCGTATTTCAAGTGTTTATGTACCCACTGAAAATAATTTATAGTAATAAGAAATATATATATTTCATTGAATAATATAGATATATTGTGTCTACTCATTTTTATACTGATCCTTTCCAGTTATCTAATCAGTTTCTTGATGTTGAGATGAAATTCATCAAGGAAGGTGGTGTAGTTTCTTCTAACCCAAATACTTTCGAACTTTTCTAAGACCACCATCAACAACGACTTCCTTGATGAATTTCATGTTAACATCAAGAAACTGATTAGAAAACTGGAAAGGATCAGTATAAAAATAAGTAGACCTTGTGTCTATATTATTCAATATATATATATATATATATATATTCTCTCTCTCTCTGTGACTGAGTCCCATCACCTATTAAGGTAAAAGGTGCATCACAGGTACTGCAGCAGTGGATGTATCTAGAGTAAGATAAACTGATGGAGCCCAACCATTTTCAAGCTGATCTTGAATTCACAGTTGTCCTCTTCCTAAACTGGTTGCCAACCAGGGCTGGAGAACCACGTCTGACTTTCTATTTAACCCATAGCTGGAGAAGGAGAAAGAATGAATTCATGCCTTTCCTAAAGGAATTTACACGAAATTGAACAAAACAGACCTGCATGGAATTTGAACTTGACTCACAAATTCTACTTTCTACATTGATAACCAATACACCATCTGCACAACATATTTGGGGGTGCTGGATATTTGAGAACACATATCGGGAGAGATACAGATAGAAGACAATCTAGTGTAGCATTCTAAAGCATGTAACAATTTTTTAACATTCTTGTTTCTCTCTCTCAGATGTACAGAGATGGCAGATTCCAAAGATGGCAGCTTCCAATCTGACACTTGAAAGGAAAAGAGACACCATATTTGTGGTACAAGCTGCCAATCAAAAACATTTCTCTAGGCTATATAGTTCAGATTTATTTATAAGTAAAAATTCAATTGGCCCTTTATTCATTTACAAACTAAAACCTAACATAACAAAACACGAATTGAAAATGAAAATCTTTAAAATTCAGATCTTGGCTCTCCACAGCTTCCTTTTCCACATTATCTGTGAATTGCCAAAACATCTTGGGAAAAACAGTAAAATGCTTTCCTGTTGTCTTCTGGATAATTTTGAATACAGAGTTGTCCTACTCTTAGACTGACACAAAAATAATTCAACAAAAAGCATAAACAAAGTCAACTCCATGTTTTTCTGACTAAAACTGATAACTTTTGTAACTAAGAATTTTTTTATTATTGATGTTCAGTTATGCTGTTTATGTATGTGTAAATTTTAATAATATTTACAAGTCTTCCAATAAATACTGCACAATCACTAATATGTATGAAATTCATATACAAATATCTCTTCTTTATCGTATAGATAATGATGAGAAAGAAGAAAGAATGTAGTGGGAGGGGGTGTAATAAAAAACTATCAGCTGAATTGAAAAGCATACAGACTAATATTTTTGTTCAATTTTTATGACAAATACGAAAATGAAAAGAAAAGTTTCAAAAATATAAAACTTGATACAAAAATCAAAATAAGGATGTTTGGTGATTAATTTCACAAGAGAAAAAAAAAATCTCAATATAGATGCCAGAAAATAAGAATTTTGAAATTGGGATCTCAGTGGGGGGATCAAACAAAAAGGAAAAAGAAAGAAAGAGGAAAAATTGTCGAAATTCACAGGGAGATAGATTGAAGAGTTGAGAAAATTAAAAATGAAATGCATTGAAAAATCATATTTCAAAGAAGTGAACTCTCAAGTAATTCCAAGAACTGAAACCAAATTTAACGAGACAAAATTCAGTAAGATTGAGCAAAACCATGACTACTCATCCTACTTCCTGCCAATGAGAAAGAGACCATTAATGTATCCTTGAAGATGTCAAATAGGAAAACGTGTTGTTGATAATGAAATTGGGTGGTCACCAAATAACATTTAAAGATCTGGACATCAAGCCAGGAAAACCCATCTGGCTTGAATTGGCCACTCAAAAGAAAAATGTCCCTACAAAGATAGAGATTAGCCTGACGGGTTTGTTCATTTTAATTTCTGTGACATTTGCCCA